CCTAGCTTCACAGTTCTACAATACTCAGTCTGAACCCCATCTGTGGCATGTCAACAGCTGAACAGCAAAACAAATACTTTAAATTAAAAAGGAAACTAGCACTATTCTTATTTGAAAAGAATAAAGGGCAGAGGGACTACTATATGCAGGCACAAAGCACTGCCGATCAGTGGGATTGTGTCACCACTTAAACTACCTTTGATCATAGGAAATAAGGGCTAACAGATCTTACAAGATCATCTAGTCCAACCCCCTGCTAAAGTCCCAGACTAAACTATCCCAGCCTGCCTGTCTAACCCGTGCTTGAACATTTCCAGGAATTAAGACTGCACAGATTCTCTAGGTAGCCTGTTCCAATTCTTGAACACCCTCAGACTCTTAGAGAAGTAGGGCTGGAAAGGACCTCTAGAGGCCATCTAGTCCAACCCCTTACCTACGGTAGGATCATTCCTATCCAAACTATCCCATACAAATGATCATCTAAGCTCTACATAAGATTACCATGAATTCTGACACAGCACAGACCTAAAACCCTAACCTACCCGAAGTAAGGCAGAGAAACCATGGCAGCCAATGTCCTGCTTCTGTAAAATATGGTCAACGTATGCTCAAGAGGTCCCAGGTAGAGGGCAACACCCCCTGCTACAGAGGAAGGCAAAACCCCCCACAGTCCGCACCAATCTGACCATAGGGTAAAATTCCTTCCTGACCCCAAATATAGCAATCAGTCGGACCCTGAGCAGAGGGGCAAGATCCTCTAGCCAGGAACCTCCAGTTTTACTCCCAGCAGGATTAAAAAGTTCCTCCTAATCTCCAACCTAAATTTCCTCTGCTGCAGTTTGAGGCCATTGCTCCTAGTCCTATCCCCTACAGCTACAGAGAATAGTCCATCTCCATCCTCTCTATAACAGCCCTACAAGTATTTGAAGATTATGAAAAGCCTCATCCCCAAGTCTCTTCTCCAAACTAAATAACCCTACTTCTTTCAGCCTTTCCTCATATGTCTTGCTTCCAAGGCCCCTAATCATATTTGTCACACTCTGCTAGACTCTCTTCAATCTGTCCACATCTTTCTTGAAGCACAGGCCCCAAAACTGGACACAGTACTCCAGGTGAGGCTTCACCATTGCCAAAGAGTGGAAGAGTCACTTCTCTTGATTTGCAGGTGATACTCCTCTTAATACAACCTAGTATGCTGTTGGCTTTTTTTTCTTTTGCGCAACAAGAGCACGCTGTTGGCTCATATTCAGTTTAGGGGCTACAGTAACCCCCAGGTAGCCCCCAGGTCCTTCTTTGCAATACTGGAGCCTAGCCAGTCATTCCCTGTATGCACATGTGCAATTATTCTGTCCCAGGTGCAGGCCTTTGCACTTGTCCTTGCTTAATCTTATCTGGTTGATTATGGTCTATTTCTCCAGTCTATCCAGGTCATTCTGGATCTTAGCCCTGCACTCCAGAGTGCAACTCCACCCAACTTAATGTCTTCCCCAAATTTGTTGAGTGTGCACTCAATTCTATCATCCAAATCCATTAATGAAAGTGTTAAACAATAACAAGACCAGGACAGACCCCTTGATACCTGCTCCCAGCTAGGCACTGGATCATTGGCAACCCAATCAGTTATGTATCCACCTGCCAGTACTTTTGTCTAGTCTCTATTTCCTTAGCTTGTTAATCAGAATACCATAAAGAACTGTGTCAAAAGCCTTGCTAAAGGTCAAGGTATATCATATCCACTACTCACCCCCATCCACAGAACTTGTCACTTTATCATAGAAGGACATCAACTTGGTCAGGCATGACTTGCTCTCAGTTACTCCATGCTCACTGTTCCTTATCATCATTTCCCTCAAGGTGCTACACAACAGATTTCTTGAGGACCTTTTCCATAATCTTTCCATTTATCAAGGTCAGACTGACTGGTCTGCAATTCCCCAGTTCCTCCTTTTCCCCTTCCTTAAAGATGGTCACTATATTTGCCCTTTTCCAATCAGTCAGGACCTCAACTGACCTCCACAAGTTCTCAAAAAATAGCCAATGGCTCTGAAATTACTTCAGCTAATTCCTCCACTTCCTTAGGGTATATCCCATCTGGATCTGCCAACTTTAAAGCATCTAACTTCTCTAAGTAATCCCTAACCTTTAAAGGACAGATGCTGCATGTACTGTGCAGAGTTTACCTAAATTACACTGTACTAAAACAATTAAGCCATAATGAGCATTAAAAAGCATAGAGGGTTTGTTTCAGTCATGTTACCTTTAGGTGTTCTAAAGGGGACTGATCCTTTTCATATATAGCCCCTTTCTGCAGAAGATCACAAAGCATCTTACAAACACAGATGGTATTGTCCTATTATAGATGGAGAAAACAGATGAAGAAACTCACCTTTGTGTCACAGCGATTAACTGTAAAGGGGCTAAAATCAGGACTACCCCAAAACTCCTGTTCTGACCATAAGATTGCTCCTCCCCTGCCTTAACTGTAACACCTCAAGCACTGGCATGATTTCTGCATTGGAGTTAAGGATGAATACCATCAGCACTGTCTGCTTTTTAGTCATCCTGGCAGACTGGATATTGAAATAGGAGCTCAAAGCATTGTTTTATCTTGGTACGTACGGTTCTTGCTGCAAACGTGCTGCATGGCCCATACTGCCCATAACTGAACCCCGGGTGTCATGAAACAGCCAAGCAGAGGGAAAAAAGGATTGAAAGACCTACAGGAAAAGAAACAAACCAAAAGAGATACTCAGCAGTTAATTTCAATGCTGACTACTGGTACTTCAAAGATCATACTCTGACTATTTTCACTAAGGGTTTAGGCAAGAGAGCTGGGATATGTTGGATCTTAGATGGAGGAGTTGGCTTTGGTTCCTACTGCTAACAATAACTTACTCACAAGTAGTGTATGGACTATGATAGTTTTCGGGTGTCCCTTATTACTTTTGCTTATAAGTAAAATGGATGTAGTTGTATGACCCATTACAAAGTAAGTCAGAATAGATGACCCAATATTCCCCCCTTCCTCTCCTTTGGCTTGGAAGTCTCTGAATCGGAGACATACAATCCTAGCCAAAATTAATGTAGCTAAAAACCTACCTGCCCAGTTAGCTTCTTCACATGGTCCTTTGAACATTCATCTGAAAGCCTTGCTAGGAATCAAAGGCTTAACCACATAGCTGAGTTACCAGGGGCAGCAGTGACTTCTAGGTGCTGCCACCAGCACAGTCATGCAGCTGGAAATGCAGCTGCTTTCCTCCCCCACACACACACACACACACACACACACACACACACTTGGCAGCCAGGGTGGCTGCCTCAGTCCTGCCATTTTTTAGGAAAGGGTGATGTTTTAAATCAAGAGGTATGTTTTTATCCACAGGAAAAATGCTAGCCAAGTCTGCATGGTTCCAGACACAAAGTGAATTTTTTCAACTAACTGTCACATACAGGTTTCCCTCACTTTATGCGGGTTCCATGTGTGTGAATTTGCTCTTACACAATGACCCTTTTTATAACAAAAATTCATTATCTGTGAGGTAAATTCATTCTTATGCAATTGGTGTGGTGGAAACCCGCAGTCAGTTGCTTTGTGTGGTGCATTGTGGGAGTGACGGGCACCAAAATATAGTCTCCTGTGTGGATCTGTGCTCCTCGCTCGCTGTCTGCTACACATGTTTCTGTAGTTGCCATCGCCATTATGGTAGCATTCACCACCACCCTATGCTTGTGTGTACTGTTGTTGATGAGTACCAAAATTGTCTTGTAAAAAGTGGTAGAAATGGGTCTGGGGGTCAGTACAGTCAAGGTCTTGAATAGATCCCTATTTGTTACATTGTAAAGTGGGTTCCCTTTATGCGAATTCGAGTTATGCACCCTTTTCCAGGAACGCATATACAGCTTAAAGCAAGGGAAACCTGTACTTCAAACTTGAAATCAAGGCAATAGTTACCTGTAAGCCACCATCTCACATTCTGGGGTTGGCCAGTTCAAAATAGCTGAATGCTGCAAGACACAGAACCAAGAGCTAAAATACTTAATACTAGATATAGATAAGCTTACAATGTTGCAGGGAAACGAAGGGACAGTTTTTAGTCATTTCTGTACCAGCTGCTCAAGAAGAGATGTCCTTTGGCTGCGACTCAATGTCCAAGCCTGCTCTCCTCTAGATATCAAGTGAGCAATAATCCCAGCTGCAAAATAACTGACTTCCACCTCCACACTGTGCAACAGCTTGCTGATGTGATCTATGAAGTCCTTCCACATTAGTTCTGAATGGAGCTCCTTCACTTCTGCTATGTTGTTCTGCAAGAAAAGAAAGTTCAAAAGTAAGTGACAAGACTCTAGTTCCTGAATCAGATGACTCTCTAGACTGAACTGAATCACACACGGACATTTTGGGATATTTTCAACTGCAATAAAAGCTAGAAACTGAACTACACTTTTGCCTTTATTGTAGGCATTTGCCTAAGAGGCAGAGGATCTCAAAACATTTCCTTCCATGACCATTCTGATATAATATTCTAATATAATAAAAGCCTTAGTTTGTCTGGCTGTCTGTCCGTAACGCTTAAGTCACACTGATTGGTTGTCTCAGCAGCCAAGCACAATGCTGACTGAAACAACCAACCAGAGTGCTCTGCACAGACAGACACACAATGCTGGCCTTGCCCCCACCTCCCCCCCCACCCCAGTCCAGCTCCTTGGAGGTAGAGGGGAACAGTGGGGATGCAGGGGATGGAGCAGAGGGCGAGGCCAGCATGACTGGCCTCCCTCCCCCTCCCCTGGCTCCTTGGAGGTCGTGGCACGGGATGCTGGTGCCGCAGCCTTGCCCTCCTGCTCTGGTGCATGGGGCCATCCCTGCCTGCCCACCCCCATCATTCTTGACAGGCAATTGGCTAGTTAAGACATATTACACAGCTGTTTTATGAAGTTTCCAAGTTTATGTACTTTGAAAAGTTTATCCAGACCGATGGTAAGAGTACAAGTGCACTGACTTTTGACCTTCTTTTGGCACTTGTATTCATCTGTAGACTTGTGCTCTACCTTTTTCAAAGTAATCTAGTCAGTGAACAGTCCTAAATGAACTGGTGCTTTTGGAAAAATGGCAATATAAATCTAAAACAACATAAAATACCTGGCCCATAAGAAAACAGAATAAAAGATTAAAGTTTAAGTGAAGTATAATGAACACTGTGGCATCTAAAGAAATTCCTAAATAAAAACTGAACATGGAATGTCAGTAAACAACAGGCACTGGTATTTGTGAAATTTAGAGTTTATGTTCATCTTACCAGAAGGCCAAGAACTTTCTGCTGGATAGAGGACTCTGATGGAAAAGACTGTAAAAAGAAACACAACACAGAGGTTTTAAATAAGATCAGTACTGAAACTACATTTGATGCATTTGTTGGTTATAAACCTATGTGGCAAACCTGCCACAAAAAACATGGTCCTCACCTCCAGGACTCTCATGAAGAGTTCTAGCCCTTGATTTTCAATGAAGTGTCGACATGTGGTTGGAGATTCATCAGTGAGATTCCAAAGCGCGCTCAATGTAAATTTGAGTGTGGTATCCACAAGGTTCTGATTTGTTTTCTGCTTTACTATTTGTAAAAGTTGCTGAAAAGAAGAAAAGCAAATGGCAGTTACCTTTGCAAACTGTAAAGTTCTACTCCTTTACCAGCTTGTTTGCTAATGCACAGACCTGGGCAATGACCAAGGACATCTCTGATTAAAATAGCAATGTATATATTAATACTGACTGTATCAGCTTTTCCATATATTTTAATCATAAATTATCTTCCTATATGCTGACACTTCCCTACTAGATGGATTCCGCTGCATAATTAGGCATATTTCAGGTCTCAAAGTTACTACGAGCTGCCTCATAATTTCATAGACATTAGATATTAGGGTTGGAAGGGATCTCGGAAGATCAAGTCCAACCCCCTAATACCTCACGAGTACCAGACGAACTCTTCCACCTACTGCATTTCCATCTTATTGTTGCCAAGGGTGGCACTTTATTCTAAATTTTCTACCCCAGATCTTAAGGTAAGTATTATATTAAGGTCAGAGGAAGGAACATCAAAAACATAATTCAAGGTTCTAGGGGCACATCTACACAAGATCCTATGTCACCACAGCAGTGTGCTACAGTGAAGTAGCACTGGCAGACAAACTGTGACGCCGCAGTTACATTGCTGTAGCGACAAGATCCCCTGTATAGCGCTTTGCCACAGCAACGTAGTGGCTAACAATAACTGTGTGCTGCCAGCACAGTGCAGCAATGGCTGTTACTGTGCTGTTATTTAGTACTCCCTAGGAGAAGTATTGAATGACAGTGCAGTAACAGCAGCACCATAGGGGCATGTGTAGAAGTACCTTAGGTGTGCAATGACCTACTGCCACTAGTTTACATGCCATGCCTGAAATAAGCTGGAATGAGAGTGCTGAGTATTGAGCTCTGCAATGAACTCTACTAAGACACCTCATTTATTCTGTAGAAAAATAAAGGCTTATAACAGCTTTCACCCAAACATGATAAAGTCCTGAATGGACATTAAGGAGATGTCTGTTTGGTGTACTGGCTGGTCTTGAGATGTGTTTAGCAGCATGTTCTCTCTCTAGAAATTGAGTGAGTCGTTTCTTAAATACAAATTTCCCTTGTCCTGACGTTCAAACCGTCAGACTGGTCCTGAAATCAGGTCCCATGGACGATGACTTCTGATATTCTTATATTTTAGAGAAAGGTATTACAATTTTACATGCTTAGTGTAACATGCATTGCTGCAGCTGGTTGATACTATAGTGGCATTCTACATCACATTTGAGCTGCATTAAGCTATTAGAAACCAAAAGATCTTGACTCTTTGATTAGTGGCATCATTATGAGAAGAGGTTAAGCTCCAAATACGGGAGAAAGAAAACTTCAAGATAAAATATGATCTTGGGAGCTTCTTTTCAAAGATAAAGTTTAGAGTGGAAAGCTAAGAGTCAAGAGGTTTCCTTCTATCCTGCAGTCATCTAAGCCCTAACACAAACAAGGGATTCCTTTTAGCTCCTATTTTATCTGGGCCTATATTTTACATTCATTACCATAGTATTTGAGCAGCTTCCTAAGCATGGACTACCAATCTTTCCAGTTTTTTCTAGGAACAGTATTGCTGGGGAATTAAGACTTAAGCTACTATTTTTTCTTTTATTAGAATACAGTCAATAGCAGCAAATTTGAAACTTAGTGAAAGGAGGAGATCCAAAGAAGAAGTATGCATGAGATTATTTGACTTACCCTAACAATAAAAAGCTCTGCACCAAGTTGAGCTGTTTGCTCAGTTGAAAGCTGCAATCAAAGAAAACAAAGTGAAAAGTCAAAACAAAAATCAGGGCCTGGGAAATTATAATTTCAACACTTCCAGATTCAAGTCTTGTACCTTTGCAGCTAGAATGGAGATTATAGCCACTGCCATCCTCTGCATATTCTGATCTTCATGGTTACACAGCCACTGCATGACAAGCTTTGCTGCTTCAAACCTGAAAATAAACAGCAGTTATTTTCAGAATGAAAAAGGAACTATACGTAACATGAGAGCAAAAAGCCCCCACACAATGGAAACTGGAAGCAGCGTGCTTTGCCTCAAGCAGGTGGACTACAACAGTAAAATAAAAAGAAAGCAAAGCTTATCTCAGACCCATGCAGTAAGTGAAATTTTGCAGAGAGACTATTGGGAAAAAGCTGCTATCATTGCAAGTTAAAGAAAATCAAGGAAAGGCACCAAGAGGTCTGCCTACTGAAAGCAAGAACAAAAGCTCACGATCCAGCAGTCTGCTACAGGAATTAAGATCTTCAATGAGGCTCAGCAAATTATTCAGGCTTCAGTATCTGCTCCCCTAGCATCTCTCACTGCTGGTTTAACACAAAGCACAAGACACTCTTTTGTAAAGCACCAGAGAATCTGAACACAGACACCTGCATTTTCCCAGCCTTCTTGTGTTGGCATGTAGGATGCAGCATCCTCCAAAGTCTTCCAGCAAGATTTCTAAATAAAGAAATCGCTGCAAATGGGCACTGGCCCCCCTCTCCTCCTCCAACTCATGTGGGTTAAAGTCTGATTTCTGTTTAGAGATTAAGTAATTTAACTGATATCAAGAGCCCTTTCTACAAAAAAAAAATTCTTTAGATCTACAATTAATAATTGTGAATGATTAGCCTCCAAATCCTTGTGAACAGGTAGATCAGGGGAATTAGCTCAGGTTTATAGCACTGTACCAGAAATTAGACTTTAACCCCATAAATCAAATTCTAGATTCCTGAATGGCAATATAGACCTTGAACCCCAAGACCCGAACAGCATATAGCATATTTCAAAACTAAACAATAAAATGTGAATAAGAGATCTTGAGTGCTACAACTGAACAGAATAAAACTTGCCTGTTAAATGGAACGTCTTGAAGGATCCTGTCACTGCACAGTGAAAGAAGGCAATTCTTTTGCAACTGCACGAGACAAAAAAGTTAAATTGAAATATATGCTTCTAAGAGTGCTTCCTTAGCCTGACAGAGGGTTTTTGAACCCAAAAGTTTGCTTAAAAATTGTTCTCCAACTATTTAAGTTGGTCTAATAAAAGATATCAGATTCACCCAAAGAACCTTGTCTCCTTACTTAAGGGGAATTGTAACAAGTTTGGTAAATCATTAAATATTTTTTCCCATTAGGATCATGTACTCACTGTAAGTAGTTACACTTCTAAACAAGAAAAATGTGAAACTGAGAAAACTTAATCCTTTTCAAGAAATGTAAGCCTTCACAGTAAGGATTAAATTTCTCTTCACTATAGAATGCAATATACACCCATTAGGTTGTGCTTGACTTCTTTACCAAATACAAAGGGAATCAGAACTTGTGGTAGAGGCGGTATCTTTTATTACACCAACTAGATTTTTGCAAATTTCTGCATAAAATGAACTGTTCCAAACAGGAGATTTTATGACACCTTCAACTCTCCTATGAAATATGAGCTTTCATTTCTACCCAGGAGAACTTTTACAATCTTTTCTCCTATGCCTGAAGAAGGGTGCTTGTGCCCGAAACCTTGCAAATAAGGAAGATTTTTTGCAAAAATCTAGTTGGTCTAATAAAATATATCACCTCTACCATGAGTTCTGATTCCTTTTGCCTCTAGACCAACTTACAGCTACAGTCTGGTTACCAAAAACAAAGGTTTTCTATTGAAGGTATCAAATGATACAACTGTTCATAATCACGCTTCAAATAAAAATAATAAAAGACTAGATGTGGCTAGAGGAAGAGAGAGTTGACTATACTATAACCATACATCTAAACACTTCTCCCTCTTAAATTTTCAAATTGGTGCTCATCTGAAATAGGAGAAGCAGTTTTCAAAGAAAACATGGATAGTTTTAAACTAGATCCCAAACACAGAATAATCCAAGCTAGATAGCTCAACACAATTCACAAAATCATTACTTGTAATCTCTTAAATCTAAAGTATGGACACAACTAACTCAGTGCCAGTACTCCAGTGTAAAAAGCTTTGAAAGACCTTAGAAATCAACCTGGGTAAAGAAATACCCCAAATAACTGGCAGAATGGGTTTGAACAACACAGAGGCAGTAGAGAAGGGACAAGGCCCAAGCTCATGTTTTTAGATTATCTATAATGCTTGTTCTTAGATGCCTAATGATTTTTACAGGACAAAGTTTTCCATTTAACTAGCTTGCAGACAGCATTGCACAATATTCAAGTATTCTCAAAGCAGAGACATATTAAAGTGCCCAGGTGGCATTTCTATTATTAGGCCCTCCCACTAGATATGATGAGAAACCCAGTGAAGAAAATAAACCAAATATTTTACCTGCTGGTGGTTGGGAAAGTGCTCCATGGCCTTGAGGAGTAAATGAGTGACGTCAGCCAGTAATCGGACAGGCATGCCCGCTGCTAAATCTTGCTTGGTTAAGTTAAACACGCATGCACTTGCTGCTAACTGTACTGGCAAGTTCAGAGGGTGATTTCTCATTCCAATGACTACAAGCTGAAATACAAAAAAAAGAAGAAGATACATTTGTATCATATAGTACACATACAAGAGCAAGCCTGGGCCCAGTGGGAAAAGGTAAAGCGATGACTAACTTCTCCCTGCCTCTTGCTCAGCTCAGCAACCTTCTCAGTCTTCAGAGAGCACCCCTCTCCTTCAGCTGTCATCTGAAGCACGACACTTACATTTTTCAGTCCTTCTGCACTGGCTCCAGCAGTCTCTCAGAAAGGACGCTGTGTGCACTGCATGATATTCTAGGCAGATCCAAAACCCTAGCCTGCTGCACATGCCCAAGTAGAAACAGACCCCCTTCCAGAGCAGAAGCAAGAGGATAGAAAGTCCAGAGTGGAAAAGAAACCTAGGACTGGCTCGCTGCTAGGCAGCTGAGGCTACTGTTAATCTACTGGCACCCCAGCCCGCCAGTTTACAAGTGAATTGTTTTACCTTTAAAATTTCAGGCTTTGTTTTTTCCATCACATGCGTCAGACTGAACAGATGGAAGAGCGCTTCCCTCACAAAGAACGCCCGCTCGCTGTACCGCTTTAGCGCTTCTGAAATCTGAGTTTCGTTTGCTTCCCCAGACACCTAAAAACAAAAGTTTTAAAGTCATCACCGCTTCATTTCAGAGTTAATGTTATTTTAAGTTGTACAAAGTGATTGTTTCAGAGTTGGAAGCCTTTAAAAAAAATTTTTTTTTGGCTAATCCCCAAGATTTGACCATTTCATCTACATGGTACATGATCTGCCTATATCAAACAAGAACTACACACATTGGAAACATCCCCCAAAGGAAGAGAGGCAACAGCATTCACAGGGCATATACCAAACCAGTCTGTCCAGACTCAATCCAGTCTTCAAGCCAGAATTCCCCAATATACAAAGCAGGGGGGTCACTTCAAAGCCAACAGAGGTCGATTATATCCTTTTGTCATCTGATAAGCAACATGATCGGCTGCATTATTCCTCACAGGAATATTCAGCATGCTGACTTCAGCAGTGTCTAACTTTTCTTTTTGGGTAGTGTAGTTGGTGTTTTGTTCCAGTCTCGCCTGAGAAACAGCCTCTTTTCTTCGTTTACTGCAGGTAAATCCACTCACTCGGGTGTTATAAGTTCCCAGTATTCTCTCAACGAGGGGCTACTTAGCTCTTACTCACTCTTTTTCATTTATGAGCACACCTTCTTAAAGTAGAGGCCTTGAATTCATTTTCACACTACACATGCACGGCTACTTCATATGAAAAGAACAGCTGCCCTACTCTCACTCGAATTTTCCTTAAGCTTTTTAAGCTGAGTTACTTAAGAACATACCTTTTTCTAAAGTGGAGACGAGACCTAAATTCTTTTGGAAGGGAGCCCTAATTACATTTTCTTCCCGGTATTTTTGCCCCATTTCACTCCCACACATAAGACATGAATAGGCCACATACACATATACACGCTGGTCAGCATATAAATGATCTAAAGCTACTACTGCTACTGGCACTGGTTTTAAATTTTCTTTATTAGGATGGAGATGTGCTGGGCTAATTCTACTTTAACTGCCTCTATGAAAATAAATCAACCTTCATTAACTACACGTGGTACAATGTCACACTGCTGGATTTTTTTAGTCCAAACAGGAGGAAGTAAATTAGGAAGTTTGCTCACAGCACACACAACCAACTTCTTGCCAAGACACCCAGAGACTTTGACACGTTCAAATAAAAATAATGTATAACAAATAAGTCCACGATCTACCAGGCATTCTGTGTCCTGTATTCATAGGCCAAACAAATCTCTCAGGTTTTACTAAGAGAGCAGGAAATCATCTTTCCAACTACAGTGTGTTTAAAACTAACACTGTCATACTTTGCTTTTGGTAAAGTACAGCGTTGATAAATATTAAGCAATGAACTTGCAAGTAAACAGCTACCTTACATTACTGGACACAAGGAAGGTAAGTAGCTGCTGCTAATTCTAACTTACATGCCATAACACCTAGGGTGGGTGGCCAGTCCATGGCAGACATGCCACACGTGGCACAGCAGATCAGGGAGGGGACAAGCAATATGGTGTCAGTTTTGAAAGGGAGCACAAAGAGCAGAAGTGGATGGGGCAGGGGAAGGGATCAAAGTGGCACTCATGGAGGGTGCAGGGCTAATTTGTGGCATGCTTGCCAAAAAGGCTGGCCTCCACTGACCCAGGATATTCAATTTATCCTCCCAAGGTCTTCCTACAGGGAACTTTTTCTGGATTATTACGGAAAAGCTCTTATCTCTCTACATTTACAAGTGTGAGATCATTAAAGAATAAAGTGTATCTGGACAAAAGCCAGCTGCTCACACCAATGAACAGACAATTAAAACACACAAATAATTTCACAAAAGAAAATAATTCCAGCCTTATGTTTCTCCTGAACTAATTTAGCCTTTCAAATGATAGCTAAATGCTTCTTGCTGGACACTTTATAACACCAATACTCTGATAAGAGCAACTCTTGTAGGATGCAAATCTTTGTAACCCTTTAAAGAGACATTAGGGCTTGGATATGCCAAATGGTAAAAACAATACTACATTATTTCTTAACCACAGTAAGGATTTGCTTCCTGATGCTACGCACCAAGCAGGTCCAGGGAATCGGCTTTCTGTAAGTTTTCATATCAGTGTTCACAAGCACACGTGTCCAACTGATACATCCGGTTATTCAGGAGTTGGGTTATTGAGAGCACTGCCTGTCAAATGGCAATCAGAAAATTACCTGGTTCGTGGCCAGTGATGTGCCGCCACAACAACAACAGACACAGCAAATGATGTCAGTTGCCTTTCATTTGTCACAACCCAAAGGGTGTGATTTTTGTTTTGTGTGCTTCGGCACTGCTAAATTGTCCCCGCTAAATTGCAGCTTCCTTGCACGGTGGAGTTTTCTGCTGCAAAAGAGAACCCGTGCAAGGGAGAATTTCCTGCCAATTTGAAGCTTTCTTTGCAGGGTGCATTTCTTTGTTGCAGCACAGAAATGCTCGTTGCAAAGAGTTCCCGCCATTTGTATGCTAATCCGAGTCCCATTATTGGCCAGTTCTAAATTATTCACACGTGGCGGCTAGTGATTGGCTTGCTAGCCGTACAAAAGGCTTGAGTGGTTTCCGCCCAAGTTGGAGGACTCCACGAACAAGGGAGGAGGAGACTTCACGCTGTGTGAAGATCTCTAAGCGCTGCGGATCCTTACGGACCCAGTGCATTTAAAGCAGGCAACAGAGGTCTGATCAACCTCTAGCCTCTCCCCGTCGCCGAGCGCAGTCCAGAAGTATCCCTTCCCGCGCGCAAAAGAACTGGACCCACGGAGCCTAGCAAACTTCGTGTGGAGCAGAAGGACCCATGGAGCCTAGCAAACTTCGTGTGAATCCTTGACCGATCTCAGAGCTCTTCTACCCGGGTTCGAGTCCTGCAGGTTTATTTTCCCGTCGCCAAAACCCATTGCGACGTACCCTCGTATTTTATATCTTCCCGTCACCGGAACCCTTTGCGACGTACCCTCGTGCCCTAAAGGTTCGAGTTTTGTTTTCTTTTCTGTCTGTAACCGCAACCCAAGCAAGCTTTCCAGCCTACACCACTGCCATCTCGGTGTAAGTAAACAATCTTTTAAACTACCGATACACGTTTGTGCCTAATTCCAGCTCGACGGCCTTCCCTCTCCGACCCGGCGTGCCCGGGCTGCTGGCCACAGCCCGCGTGCAGCGCGGAAAAGGGCTCGGGTCGCTCCCGGCCCGCACATCATTAACAAAAAGCTAGATTTTGTGCATCACAACTCAAGAGATTTAATAAAACAACTTTGGATTAACACAGGGAAAACCCCTACCTTCTCCATCACCTCTACCAGCCTTTACACACAGGGTGGTAGGATTAAGTACAGCAGTCTTTTGGTTATGTCAGTGAATGTTTGCAGTTTAAGTGATGGAGAACAAAACAATCTTTTTGTGTTACTGAAGAATTCACCTGTTTTGAGAGGATAAATGAATGCACCTAGACAAAAGCAGCCCTCATCACATAAGATGTTGTTTCCTCCCCAGTCTGCTTTCCTCGGCTCTGTATGCCCTTTGTTTCACTTAGTGCACAAAACTCACTCACTCAAGAAGCCTATTTACAAACCACCTAGCTCTTCACACTAAATGAAACCCCAATTTCTGGCACAGGAGGAGCTGAATTAAGGCTCTCATACATAACTATTAGAAAATGCCACTTACAAATTAAAAATATTACTGTTGGAAGCAAATGCATAAATTCATACTGACATACACACACACTTGTTACAAACTGTTACTAATCAGTTCTAATCCAGTTATTTAGCAATATGTAGAATTAAAATATATATCAAACCTTTAAGTGTCCTTCTCCTGTAAGAAATTCAGAGTAGCCAGCATCAGTGGCTAGCAATCCCACGAACTGCATTGTTCGCCGCTGTTGAATAAATGCTTCTACGGCTTTATCCGTAACATGCTTTCTTCCAGAAATGTCCAAAGACACAAGGTTAGGCAAGATATCTTTTTGTTCTAGTAAACGGAGTGCTATATCTGATGTGAACTGTTTATCATCTGAAATATCAAGGTGATTCAGATACTTCAGTTCTCTTATGACATCCAAAATTTGCGTAGTCGTCATTTTCAAGCATTTCAGATGGTGCATGGTCAAAGATTTCAGTCGATCTTTGCAGGTGAGGAGTGCAGTTATGTCTGTGACAGAGGTATTAGATATATCTAGACTTTCTAACCTTGGAAGTGAAGCAACGTCTGCTAAGTCTTCATTGTAGAAGAGAACATTGGTAATGCTCAAAGCACGAAGCCCAGACAACTGACTGAAGCACCTTTCATATGGGTCTTCCAAGGAGAGAGTTAGTGAGTTCAAGACAAGGCATTGAAGGTTTTGCTGGATCCATTTATTGCTGCCAAGTCCTCTGATGATATCTGTAATTGTAATGTCTGCATTTACCCCCGTGGCATCAAGTTCTACTAGCTTGTGATGGCAGAATGCTTTCCGGAAAGCCACCGCTGAGATTTTTGCTTTGCGGATACAAGCTCGTTTCAAGCGCATCTGGTTGCCTCGAAAAATCCCAACAGTCCCATCGTTTAGCAGCCCTGTTGAAAGACAGCAACAAATTCATGGTAGAACAGAGATCTTATTTGAGGGGAGGGGAGAGGAAGGCTGCAAACCAATGTTTAATTAATCAGTTCAGACAGGGTACATCTACACAGTCATTAGTGTGCAGCAGTTACTGCGCATCTAGTTTAGTACGCGCTTAATGAAGTACTAACAAAATGCACAGTAACTACAGTTACTGCACAGTAGTGACAGTGCATGGGTTTTTAGTGACGCTTTCTGCACAGTAGCGTGCCGGGCAAAACCCATGCTAATATGCTACTGCACAGTGTTACTAGGCTACTGCATATTAAGCATCTCACGTAGACACACCCACAGTGGAGTTATAATACAATGCATACAGAACCAATTAAACACAGTGCAAATCCGGAAAGTTCAACTTGAAAGTCTGGACTTGAAATAAGATTGGACTAAACTCTGCACTTCACGGAACCTAACACTAACTGTGCTCATTTATGACTGGACCCAACTGAAAATTTGACAAAAATTAAGTTGGCAAAACAACTTTTTTTCTCCCCCCCCCCTTTTTTTTTTTTTTTTTTTAAACACACATTTTTTGCTGACTTTCCTGTGTTTTGGATAACTTTATTTGCTAAAACACAAGTCTGGAGTTGGATATCAGAGATTCAGAACTACTTTACACTTTGCATTAACTAGTTTGAAAAAATCAATCAGAATTCTAATGTGAACATTAGGTTGAATTAATACACTAAACAAAACTAATGAAGCTGTTTTCTACATCCAGAGAGAGATCAAATATGAGAAATAAACCTAGAAAGCATTATAGAGGCCTGCAGTTTAGGTAGTGGAGGGGGATGAGAGGGAGCATAGCAAATGTGTCATAGAATATGGCAGTCAGAAAAAGAGAACCATCCGACATTGGCTAGTATATGCAGACACCACATCAGAGAGCAGGGAGTAAAAATCCTCATCTTGCCAAGCTATTGCAGGGAACTGACTTATCAAGTTTACTTCCAGGGACATCACCTGAAACACACTGACAGATTGGAGGCTGTTTTGAGATCTCTTATCTTTGTAATTCCAGCAGCTGACTGCTGCTTTACAGAAAGTCCTTCAGAGACATGACCTCTCCATTTCACTCAAACCGCCTCTCAGAATTCACAATCCACAAACATCCAGAGAAGGAGAAAGGAAGCTACAAAAACTTGTGGTATTGAATAGTGAAACAAACATCTTGCCAGCACCATAGGGTATCTGGATTTTTAAAAAATTCCATCCATCTATGAAATCATCATTTGTAGTTTTCAGTCATCAACTACCAAATCCCTCTGCAATGGGGAAAGATAGACACCATGGCTGCATCCACATGAGCGTGGATATTTGTTTCCCCGGGAACACCTGTGCCACACACCCTCTGGTGCATGGCAGGGTACCCCAGGTGGGGTAGGGAAGGCTAGGGCCAGTACTGGGCTGGCCCCAGCAGCCTTACCCACGGTCCTGGGGCTGCAGCAGCAGTGCTTGGAGCCTAGACAGCAGCTGGAGCATGGCTCCAGCAAGCCAGTCTCCAGTTTTGGGCAATGCATACATGCACCACTCCACATTTTTTTGCATAAGTTTTTTTTGACCCCAGGATCTCCCACAGATCCCGCTACCTTACAGTGCAGAGAACAGCTGAATGTGCAGTGTGTGGCACCACAGACGTGTCTGCAGCACCACATACTGCACAGCCACATTCATCTGGACATGGCCCAAGGTTTACAGATTTTTTACGAAGATAGAAGCTTGTTTAACAAGACAAAAAAGGAGAAAACAGTGGTCTGATTAGAGGCTAAAAAGGAAGAAAGATAAAGAATATTTTGGTTAAGAAACAACTTTGCAGCTTCTCATTTTGGCTGAAATGTTCACTCTGAAGTTATCTCAAGCTCCCTGTTCATTCTGACCCTGCCCATCTTCTACGTTCACCTGCTATGTCCTGGCTACCAAGAGTTTCTAGTCTTAACGTCAAACAGGTCTCTCTGCTTTATTACTATCCAATAACAATGGGACAAAATTAAGAACTTAGTATTTCTCCTCCAGCCTGCACACACACTTCTTGATTTTTTTTAATCTTAATTCAGAATAGAGATGGAAATGACCTATTAGGCCAAATCTATTTCATAAATAGTGCAGTTTGGTCTGTAAATTAAAGTTTTCTAGTTTCTATAAATCTCTATATGAGCTACAGTTTCCCCTATTTCCCAGGGAGGCTACATTATACATTCAGAGTTCTCACATTCAAGCTGCTATTCTTGACATTATAGTCTAAAATTTTCCCTCATTCTACCCAGTGCAAATTCAAAACCAGGTGAAAGCCCCTCTCAAAATATTATGCTGGCTGACTGCACTTAAAATGTAACAAGATGGTTTTGACAGGTTTTCATAACATATTCCCTAGGTTGGATTTTTTTTTTCTAGCAAGGAATTATATTTTATTCACGCTGCTACCTGGGCAAAAAATAAAGGAATGAGGGAGTTACTTTCATACAAATAACAAGATGGTTTAATATTTTACTTTACAGAAATATGGAGACACAAAGTAAGGCTGATAGAATTCAGTTTATTACTCTGGGAAAGATGCTGCTGACATTAATGATTAAGTATCCAAGCATCACCAACGATGGGATGAAATTAATCTGATAAACTAGGAGAAATAAGATGCCAAAGGACAAATTGCTGAAGTCCAATTTAAAGAAACACTAAACTAAGGTCATTATTATGGGACAAAGGACTCGGTCCTGCTCTGAGGGCAGCTTCCTGTCTGTGAAGCAGCAAGCAGAAGTTGTGACAAAATGAGAAGAGCTGAAATCCCTCTTTTATTAGGAAGTTAAAAAATACAGTTCAAATGGTTCCAGTGGCCACACACTGCTAACACACACAGCAGGGTCCCGGCATCATATTGCTGCTACCAGTGCTGGCCCCAAAATCACTGCTTTACCATTAAATGCCATAGTCTGCAGTAGTCGATCAGCCACTTCTTGAGGAAAAATTCCAGGCTCCTGCAGGCATAACGTTCCATCTTGTCTTTCTGCACAGAACTTCTCAAGGTTGGCAGTCAGGAAATTTAAGCAAATGTCAAGTAAAGAATGCGGAGATGCCTCCTCCTGTCATAAGCAAAGACACAATCAATTTAATAACAGTTTTAGGGCATGAACCATTAAGCCTACTTACAAACCGCCCTTGAACCTGTCAAGTATTCTGTGCTAGCTCAATTGTCACCGCAACAGGAAAGCCTTACAAAATGTTGAGGGGACACCTTATCACAGCAGATTCAATTTAAATCAGGAAATCTCTTGCTTTGCCTCCACAGAGGAATTGCATTAACATGTTAGGGAAGGGATGTCAAACTTGCCCTGCCCCTGGGCTCGATCTGGACATGGCAGCAGGGTGAGCAGTGGCCATGACAGTTAATGCAGCCACCACTTACCCCCTGCCACTGACGCATCGTCAACAGGGCACTGTGCCCCACATTTTGACAGTGGGCTCCATGCCCAAAATACCAGCTGCTCAACGAGCCCCCTGAGCCATACAACATAGTGCTACACAATCTGGGTTTGGTCTGCAGGCTGCAAGTTTGACACCCCTGTGACAGGGGAATGGAACCACGAAGGAGGACACGTGGAACATTTAAAAATGCATTATTCAAAATAAATGTGCTGAGTGCCAACAATGAACAGTTTGGTCCAAAAATGAGTTGTTGCTGGATACGATTATAATGTAAACTGAAAGTTAAGGTTAAAGTGAAGATCACTTTGAAACAGCATAGAATAAGATTAAATTTTAAATGCATTTGATTTTTTTAAGGTTCATTTAAAATTAAAAATGAAATTATGACAACTTACGTAGTAAGTCTAACTGATTTTATTAAATAAGATCTAAATGTAAGATTTTGTATCAATAAACCACCCTCACATTTTAATGAGCTGAAAGATAAGCTTCCTCCAGAGGTGGTGCAATCACCTACCCTGGAAACCTTCAAGAGGAGACTGGATGGTCACCTTGCTGGGGTCACCTGAGCCCCGGTTATCTTTCCTGCTTGGTTCAGGGGGCTGGAACCACTGTTCTCCCAAGGTCCCTTCTGGCCTTACAATCTATGAATCAATCTATGCTTTTTCTAGTTATATAAAACAAAATTAGGGAACCCGCAACCTTCACTCTAGAGGGAACTCAAGCTCTACAAATGTCACAAACCACATTGATTGCAATCCATGTATTTTACAATCCATTTGTTTGCATTCATGATAGAGAAAAGGCTACTGTTTACATCTTTCCAGAAGGTAAGTACTTTCAGTTTGTTACACAGGAAGGTGTTTGCCTCAATTAATTTTTTTAGGTTAGCTAACATGTGGAGGTTTCCTCATTTTTACCAATTCATTCAGTTAAGAAACTGTAGCAGAAAGCCCCCTTTTTCCTCTTGCCTGCAGTTGCTCTCCCCTCCTTGGATGTGTTTTTCCTCTTCTACCTTTTCTTCCTTCCTCTTTCTTTCAGTATAAGATAAGGAATTTATGTTTTAAAATTTGTGCACGCGCATTTTGTATCTCCCCTCGTATTTTGGTATTTTTATCTATTTGTGTGCCATGGCATTACTTTTGTAGCTTATATTTTATGCTCCTCACCTTTCAACGAAATGTGTTTAGTTTCAGAAGTAAGTTATACACTGTAACAATGTTAACAAGGGCAGGAATCAAACTGCCCTTCCCTGTATCAGGCGGGCCCCTGAAAGACCGAGTGAATCAGTGATTGAATGCATCACACAGTAGCAGCCAGCAATTAATACCTAAGAAAACCGCAGATCAACCAAGGGAATAACTCAATAGGAGACAATGTAGCAACCAGGAATTCTCTAAACCTCACTGTTCAAAGGTTAGAAGCCTTGGTCTGAGTTAATCAACACCGGGGACCAACTTTTGGGCTGAATATCTCCAGATCGACTGCTCCCAGAGCCCTATTCAAAATTCATCAACGGACTCCCAAACCTGCACGTACATGCGGACGACCCCTGGGGCTGACAGATGCCATCCAGTAGCCACCGAGGGGGAAGTCCCACGAGGGTCAATGACCCCTGGAGTGGGCAAACCTTAAAACTGGGGAGTCACCAAAGTCTGCCAAGGACAGATAAAACACAGTGAAAAGTGACCCTCAGCGGCGCACTCTTGATCTCCAACTTGACCAGCACCCGACCTGTCCAGCCAGAAGGACCAGCCGGCAACCCCCTTCTGGAGGATAACACCACGCTGGAAGAAGCCTCGACTGGCCATTGACGGCAGACTCCAGCGCCTGTGGGATAGGTATACCCGACTCTTGTAGCTCACTACTGTGTGCGCGCATGTGTGTGTGTGGGGGGGGGTTAGGGTACAAGATTAAAGAAACAAATGTCTCTTGCGTTTTGTGCAGAAATAAAGTTACAGTCCTTATAGTCTTGCTTCCAATTCTGGCCATCATTCTTTTTCCTTATTGTGGCAATTCTCAACTAGGACACTGCAGCCCCCTGGAGTGCCCTGAGATCCTTTCAAGGATGCCACAAGGTGCCACACAATGTTAGAACTGTTGGGTGTGCAAACATCATTCATAAGATAAACCCCAAGATTTAAAAAAGGAATCCCTACCATTCAAAAACATTTTACCCTCTTTGGGTCTTTGAGTTCTTTGCAAAAGAATTGCTCTACTATTTTTCTGTAGTCAAAAAACAAGTGAAAACTAAACACTGGCATTTTCCAATGGGTGTTTTGAATCTATCAAGTCTAAAAAAAGGCTGAGAACCACTGCGCCAAGTTGTTACAGAACGTAGCCAGCACAACATTACAAGCAAACCAGGGAGTAAACCTCCAGATTTCCTTTGATCAATACATAACAGTAGCAATTTAACATACTTCTTTTAATTAAATTCTAGTGCCCAATAATTGCCTACTGTTTTCAATCCAACTAATTCCATCAGCACAAGTAATGACTCACACACATTATGAATCATCCTCAACACTAACAAAAAAGGAGGCAGAATAACTGGTACATGATCCCTCATGCAATTTTGAAAATAATGGTATCAACTGTTGATGCATCTGACCCTACAGCAGAAATGTAATCTTGCCTTTAAAATGAGAGCTCTGAAGCATTCATCTTTCACATCCACTGTTGCTTCATCTGCTTCAAGTGATCCTTTGGCATAAACTCATTAGTATGCTGTCGGTCCCCAGCAGCAGTATGTTAGCATCTTGTTGAAGTAGGGTGTTTGTACCTGAAAGCTTGCAAAGAAGAATTTTTCCAACTATTTGAGTTGGTCTAAGAAAAGATATCAGATTTACCCAAAGAACTTCGTCTCACAAGAGGTAATGTATTTATCTTCAACTCTGAGAAACGTGCCTGTGAGGTACACTCAATGGAGAGATGGAAACGGTCTGCTGGATCCCACCCTGTTTCCTCTAAGACTAGATCATGCTTCTTTTTCAGAATGCTAGAGATATTCCTGTGTTTTCCAACCTGTTTTTGATGTATAGAAAGATTTCTGATTCTTCCCTCCCTCTTTTTTCCCTCCAAAATGCATACTGACCTCTTCCCAGCAATTATTCTCAATGCACTTTTCTTCTGAATGTTCCTGATATGGTGAGACTGGGAATATAAGCTTTCTTCCTCTTTGTTACCTTTAAATAGATTTTAGAAAAACTACAAATTGTCTCTGCATCTCTAAATCAGCTTTTCCTTCCCCTCCTCTCTTTTTTTTTTTTTTTTTTTTTTTTTTCTCAAATGAGGGGGTAGAAGCAATGGTGACCATGCCCATTTTAAAGGACCTTTATTTTACCTTAATGCCATTTTTTTACCAAATCACAGTTTTTACCTAAAAGACATTACAATCTTAAAGTGCAAGTCCAGGAATGGGAGCCATGAAACTCCAAGTTATCATCCCTGTTCCAACAAACTTGCCCTGTGGCCCATGAGAACCAACTCAACCTTTCTGCCTCAGTTTCCCCAGAGAAAAAGTAGATTATTTTTATTTGCCTCACAGAGGTTTTATACTCTTTCTAGCATTTCAAATTTGCAACATTCTCTTATAAGATCCATACCATTACATAGTTTCATAGTTGGTAGGGTCAGAAGGGACCTGAGCAGATCATCAAGTCCGACCCCCTGCCATGGCAGGAAGGAGTACTGGGGTCAAACGACCCCAGCAAGGTGTTCATCCAGCCTCCTTTTAAAGACCCCCAGGGTAGGAGCCAGCACCACTTCTCTTGGAAGTTGGTTCCAGATCCTAGCCACCCTGACAGTGAAGTAGCGCCTCCTGATATCTAACTTGAATCTACCCTCTGCCAGCTTGTGACCTTTATTTTTAGTCACTCCTGGGAGTGCTGGGGGGAACAGGGACTCCCCGAATGCCTGCTGGTCCCCTCTGACTAGTTTGTAAACGGCCACTAGATCCCCCTCAGCCTTCTCTTGTGGAGGCTGAACAGGTTCAGGTCCCGTAGCCTCTCCTCGCAAGGCCTGCCCTGCTGCCCCCTGATCATGTGAGTGGCCCCCCTCTGGACCCTCTCCATGCTGTCCACATCCCTCCTGAAGTGTGGCGCCCAGAACTGGACACAGTACTCCAACTGCAGCCTGTCCAGTGCCACATAGAGGGGGAGGATCACCTCCCTGGACCTGCTTGAGATGCATCTGCGGATGCATGACAAGGTACGATTGGCCTTCCTGACCACGTCCCCACAGTCAGCCCACGTTCATTTTGGCATCAATGACTCCAAGATCCTTTTCTGCCTCTGCACTGACAAGAAGGGAGTTACCAGTAAGCATCATTTTTAGCTGCATATTATGTACCCTTAAAGATGACATGGAGCCAAAAAAAAAAATTTCAAGGGATGTCCAGGCTCTTTTGCCACTTTAGGAATACTTCGGGTCTCCTTATGTCATAAAGAGAAATTTGGCTAATCACTTAATTTAATTATTTTTTAAGTGGAGGCAAAACATTTGAAAATAGCTTAATGCATTTGAGAGCTGCTAACTCAATCAGGAGAGCAAACTCCTCAAAACCTCCTGGAAGTTACCCCACAAAATAAAAGGTGTTCCTTGCTCATGTTAGCTCTAGAGCTTGTAATTTGCTGCTTAAACCTCTGACAGGAGTCAGAACACTGGTGCTATTAATTGCTTTTGGCACCAGCCCAATCTCTTTGCCAGAAAAACTGAAGTACAAAGTAATATATCTGACATTTATCAAATTACAGACGCACCTCCCAGGGAGACTAATTTCACTATCCTATAGGTCTTTTCCATTTATGGCAACTGTGGTCCTACCCTCCCGGTCATGAAGACATCTGGCTCCTTTGTAAGCTTTGCATCTCGGACTTTAAACAAAGTCTGAGTAAAAAAAATCCCAAAACAGGACTCTTATGACTTTCTCCTGAATCAACTTGTAAAATCTTCAGAGCTTTTCCCAGAATGATATTGCTACCTTTGTTTTCTTTTATGCACTTTGTGGGAAACGGATACCAACTTCAGCTCTGACAATAACATTTGGTTGGTTTGTCCTTAAATACCCTATTATTTCTGCTGCTGCTGCTACTTTTTGGTCTCCATTATGGAAGGGCACATGTTTCAAATGAGTCATGCTGCAATCATAAAAAGCACAATGCCGACTTCTCCAATGCAGCAGAACCACCTTAATTCTGTACCTTGGATCCAAGGACATTGGTCTACCAGAAACATAACACCTGCTTCTGAGTTTTCAACTGCCATATTGTCAAACGCATAAAGCAATGCCAACAATCACTGTAAGAGGCATGGATTTTTTTTTTTAAATTCCAGTAAGAACAATATGCAGAGGACCTTGATATTTCCTTTTCCCCTCCAATTCAAAGCAATGGTAACTTCGCATTTGGTTTAGAAGTCCTTGCAACTAGAGTGTCTTCCTTTGATCTGTTAGGTCTACATGTTAACAGCACATCAGGTTTGAGACTACAGTACATTTTTAGTACATGGAACAGGGAATCTAATCACATTTTGCAGAACAGCAAGTTATGTCTAACAATGGAACTAAACAGCCCCCATGAAAATTTATTACAACTATAATGGAAACTGACTCATTCCTAAACCTAAAGATATGCCAATAGTGCATTACATCTTTAACCTTTTTTTTTTTAGGGAACTTCCAGCCAGGTTTCCCTAGACCACTAGCTAAAGAGTATTTTTTATATGTTAAAAAGATGCTTGTTTTAGGTTTTTAAAGGCGTAAATGGGGGGGGGGGGGGGGAGGGTTGTTACCATCCTCTCCCCCCAAATCCTTTGCAGACAGCTGAAAGCTTAACAAGCAGCCATCTTGTACAGCTGCAAAAGATACACTGGCAGACTCCATTTAGTGAATACTCCTCAACACTGACTTTTCATTTTTCCTGACTTTGTACCAAAGGCTGCTAGCTTTTTGGACCCTCTGCAATATTCATCTGTTTTCCCAAGCTTCTGAGACAGAGATAAAATAGAGACTGAACGTGGTGTGTTGGAGATTATGGGTCAGAGATGGTGTTAGCCATGTTAGTCTGAAGTTAGAAAGCAGGTAGGGCAGAGAATAGCACCCAAAGGGCCAATGCAATCACTCCCAGGGGCTGTCATGGAAAGGGGTCCCCAACTAATTCAGCTTGTAAGGTCGGTTATTGTTTTAACCAGCAAGAGCATTTGATGAGTGCTTTTTTTTTTTCCAGAACTACATAAATAAAGGATACATTTGTGGCCACAAACATAAGACTTGTTAACATTACTTCCTTTCGCAAATGTGTCTAAACAACTCCTAAAAATACACTCTGAACTACAACAGCAGCCACATTTTTTATCCCAAATTTGAGGCCTAGTCTTAATGAGAAAATGAAGGACTTCTTTCCAGTTGCACATTGGAGACTTTGGCCAGGTCCTCACTGTATCAGGAGCAGCCGTGGGTTGCACGGATCCTGCCTCCATCTCCGTACGACCCGCCATCGGCTGGCCTGTCCTGCCCGGTATCCTGTCACTCGTACTAGGTGGGCTTTCACCCGCTGGCTCCGCGGACTCGTTCGAGGGCCAGCGAGCAGTCTGGCGCGCGCTGCTCAGCGTCCCCGCCCCGGCGCGCTGGTTTTGAAACCATGACCCTCGCCCCTCTCCCCGAGCGTCTTTTATTTGTCCCAAGGACTCAACCGCTCCATCCTCAGCGGCCTCCTTAAGGAAGACGTCGTCGTACTCAGCAGGCCTCGGCTCACACTTCCCCCGGCGCCGTCCCGCTTCCAGGGCTGCTTTCCTCTGACTCTCAGTGTGCTTGTTGTGAGCGATGACCTTCCCTCGGCCCCCCCACTTCCTCAGCTGCCCCCCGTTAGCACTCCACGTCCACTTCACGGCCCCCAAATTAAGAGGGGGCTTTTATGTTCACTAGGTGGGCAACACCCGCCCTCCCCATGCCCGTGTTTAGGGGGGCCTCGGTCCCGCGCACCCTGCCCCGGCGCCGGACCACGACCTTCCTCCCCGGCTCTTCCTTGTCCCGCAAATCCAGCTGACGCCGCCCAACCCCCGGGGGGGGGAAGGAGACTGGCTCCACCAGGCCGGGTCAGTCACAGGCCACGACCCCCCAGCCCCGCTCATGAGGGGGAGGATGCTCCGTCAGAACAGGGAGGGGAGGGCAGGACGTCAAACCCCCCCGCCAGGTGCCAGGCCTCGCCGCCCGCCGCAGCCCCGCGAGCAGAGCTCTACACCGCCCCCGGCCTGGATTTGGACCGCTCTACCCGCCTCAGCCCCCCCCCGCCCGCGGAGCCGACCCCAGCCGAGCCGGACCGCACCACTGCAAGGCTGGGGGGGGATCACTCACCATCGCGGCGCAGGATCCCCGACAGTCAGCAGCGCGCCGGGGCCGCAGCAGCCGCGCGACCCGGAAGTGAATGAGCCTCAGCCGGCTGGAGGCGGGGCCCGCACAAGCCCCGCATCCCTTAAAGGGGCCGCGTGGTTTGTGGGGGGCGGGGCCTGTGAGGGGCTCTTAGGGACCACCCCCCCCCAGCGCTGACAAGTCTCAGTGCCGCATGGGGTGCCTTAGGCTTCGGGGAGCGCATCCTGCTCCCCCTGGGCAATGGTGGCCTGGAGGGTGCCAAGGTGCGGCCCCTCCGCCGCCGCCTCCCGCATGCTCTGCGTTTAGTGGCACTGAGGGAGGCTTGTAGGATCCCAGTGGGGCTGGGCGTAGGTCGGAGGCCAGCAGCGCTGTGGGCTGGGGTAGCGCAGTCGTCCCCGCGGTGGGGGAGGGGAGCAGAAAAGCGCCGCCGTGCCTCGAGTTGGGTTTTTTTTTGGAAAAGGCAAAAATCAAAGGATGTGTCTGTCCTTGACACGATTCAGATCAGGGGCTGCTCGACCTCTGGCCCGTGGCCCGCGGGGCCGTGGCATCTGGTCCGTGGGGCTCCCCATAGGTCAGGAAATCTGGTGGCGGGGGAGCAGTGCCGAATAACACTGTCGCCCCTCCTCGACTGCCAAATTTGCAGGCCAGGACGCACCACCTTAACCCCACAACGTGGCTGGCATGCACCCTACCCCTCTCCCCAGGCACACGGTTACATTGGGGCCAGGCCGCTCCCCTTCTCCCTCACCACTGACCACAGCTGGATCAGGGCCAAGGCGTGCCCCTCTCTCCAATTGGGACCACTGACACAGCTGGATTGGGCCCCACCTCACCCCACCCCCACATGCCGGACCAGGCCCAGGGACCGAATCTGGCCCACGGCCAAACTGAGCACTGTCCATCCGGCCTCGGGGGGAGAAGGCTGGGCACTATCGATTTCGATGACCTTCCCTGATCACGCTCCATCCAGAGCAGAAGTTCGTGCAATGGAGTCTCCCACGCAGGGTAAGCACGATGCGGCCAACAGGAAACGCTGGCTCTCGGAGATGCGCGCAGGAAGAATTTGTGTGACGTAGACACGGTCTGAGCCTGCAGCCTCGTTGTGCTCCAGTCACCTGCGGTGCCCAGGTGACGGGCAGGAGTGATGTTGCAGAGCCCGCTCAGCTGGAAAAGTTTCTAATATTTTTTCTAAAACAAGCCTCAGACCCAGCCCTCCAGCTGTGTCACCCGTGACCTGCCTTTGTCACATGCTCTGCTTAAGATATTGGCCACCTTTGGCTTTCCCAGTTCTGTCCCCTCCTGATTTTCCTCTGATCTCTCTATACTTTCTTTCAACAGGTCCTTCAGAAAATCGTCTCCCTCCCCCTTCCAGCTTCCTCTGGGGGTTTCACAGAGCTCTGTCCATGGTCTCCAACCCCTGCCACATTTTATCTTTAAGGAATTTCATTCCAAAACAACCCTCATTTTTATGCTGATGGCTCACAGCACCACCCCTGCGCTCCAGAGTTACTTTCTTCCATTCATACTAGCTCTTACAGATTCCAGTAGTAAAATAGTAAGTACTAATAAATCTCTTCTAGTGCTTCACTCCTACGCCTACAAAGAAATCAATGGGAGCTTTGTCACTGATTTTAACAGGAGCAGGTTCAGGCTACAGATAGTACAGTAATGGTGAACACTTCTTTCCAACTATAATTTTACACTATTTTTTTTTAATTAAAGCGATTTGGTAATCTCAATTATTTCAGATCCAGGATGAAATGCAAAGTGTAATACTAACACTTTATGAAGATAAAATCCAAGTACAAAGAGCTTGTGTTTGAACTCTTCTGTACCTTGGAAGGAGCTGTTGCCTCCAGGTACAGCTGCTTTAACTGTACTTATTTGCAAACTAAAAAAAAAAAACCCCATAAAAAAATGGATGATCCACATTTCTAAATGAATGGATTGTTCCTTTTACCAGAAGAGGACAAAGCAATCTACAGCTATTGGCCTCCTTCATGCAGTCATTATTTAGGTGAAATTCTAACTGACAGCAATAGGGTTTTCACATATCCTGCCGCTATAAGACCCATTCATTTGTGACAAATCATAACAGCATCACTGATAAGTAAATAAGTATTAGCCCCATGTTTAAGATGAGAGCAAGGAGGCACAGAAACTCACAGTGAACCAATGCCAGAGTCAAGGGAGAACCCATTTTCCTGATCTAACAATTGAGTCATGCTGTCACGTTCCAATGGCTCTCTAAATTAGTGTTACTGTTTTTTATGTAACTATAAGATATTAATTTTATTTCTAGTTTTGTTACTTATTCAACTTTCAGGACACATTCCTTCTCTCCTAAAGAATCAGAAATTCATTAGTAATTTTAAATGTGTAGCACTGTTTTCTGTCTGCTCTTCCAGATACACACCCACTCTTCTAGCCCAGATTTCAGGTCTTGTTTCCTCTATAGAAGCAGCAAAAAATGAGAGCTTCCTCACTGGGTCTTATGTGATGTCCAGACCTCATAATCTATTGCCTCATTGACTCTACTCCTGACCGCTAACTAATCAGTTTCATAATGTTCAAATTAAGGAAGAGGTTCCTAGCAACCGAGTTTGTGTAATTCCACGTGCAATATTAAAAACAAATAGTTGAGTGAGATAATTGCATATATCCAAAAATTCCAGCTATGAAAGTGCATGGATTTTGCTTGTGTGCATGCAAACTGAAAACTTGCGTAGCGTAGTATTAATACCAATATGGTTCACCAACATGGTTGGAGCCTTTACATGTGTCTTACATCCCTGCCAGCTGAGCTAATGAAGGTAGTGACAGAGGTGTAGGTTGCTCTCCTCTCTCAGGACCAGCACTAGAAAAAGATGAGACATACACTTTGCCAATGAGTTATACGTATTGCTGGCAGCAGAGGACTCAAAAGACTTGTCTTGTCTGTTCGCTGTCCAGTGGAAACTGCAGGCTTGAAGGAGGAGTGTTTGCAAGTGGGCACAGACTCTTCTGTTCATTCTTCCTAAGCTGGACTCTCTCTCACCATCCATTCCAGCATGCCCAGTCCCAGTCCTGTCTGTCCTCTACCCTTGCTACCTCTTTCTACATCCATTTTTCTTGATTATCTTGTCCCAGTTTTTAATCCTCAAGCTTCTCGTCCTAGTGCCAATCTCTTTGCCCAGACCATCCTAGTCTCCCCTTTTGGACTCCTCCTCCAAATCCCAATATCTCCCCAGTTCAAAATCTCTCCCATGCCCTAGTCTCCTTGCCCAGTTCACCCACCCAGAACTCTGACTTCTTGCTCCTGGTGTCTCTGCTCAGTCAGTCTCAGCTTTTCTTTTCCAGATCCTCGTCTGATCTGTCTTTTTCTTTTTGCTGCCTTGAATCTTTCCCCAGCATGTCACCAGTTGCCCCTGGATCCTTGTACCAGTGCCCACATTCCCACAGCTCCTTATCTAACCTTAGTGCCTCCTTACCCATTGTACCAGGTTCCCAGTCGCACAGTTGTCATCACTTATTTTCAGTTCTCATCTCCCACCAGCTTCAAGTTCCAGTTCCTTTGCCCAACCAATTTCAGTCTTGCCTTTACCTCACCCCTCTGCCTGCTAGTCTCTGTCAGAGCTCCCAGTTCCAGTCTCCTCCCTCCCAATTGCCACTCACAGTTTCTGTCTTTCCATCCCCAACTCCAGTCCAAGTTTCACCTGACCCCTTGTCCCAAACTCCTTCATTCTTTTCCCCCCAGTCTGGTTCTTGTTCCCTCTGCATTCAAGGCAGCTACTTTGTCCTCATGCCTGGGATACATAGGAGAAAGAGACTCCTTGCTCTCTGTTTTGGTACCTGGCCCCAGTGCACCCACAGAAGTTCATAGGTGTAATTATTGTAGCAAAGTCTTGCTTGGCCCCATTAGTCCTAAGGTTGAACATGCTTGGTTGCTTTGTGGTGTGCACAGGCTGATCAATGCTAGGAGCTGTGGGGAGATATGGAAAGTCCTGCATAAACAGAACCTTTTACTAAAGTCAAAGAAGTTGGTATTGAGCATGTGCAAACTAAGATTTTTCAAAAGCTAATAATTTGGCTAATTTGGGTAGAACTTCATAGTGACAGTAAAAGGCACATCCCTAATGTAAAGTCAAGCCCCCATCTAACATTTCAAGTCTTTGCTTTAGAGCAGGAGCACACCAAACCATCACAAAGGAAAGCTCACTAGAGTTTTTAAGCTGGGCAAAATGTATTTTCCCTTAGTTTCATCCTCAGAAATGGCTGAAGCTTTGTACCTAAAATTTACTAAACAGAATTAAACATAACCAGCAAGGAACATTTTACACCAAATGGTTAAAGTTTGCAAAGCAATAAGCATTTAAGAAATCTCACCCTGGGAATTTTGGTAGACAAGGTTCTTTGGGTAAATCTGGTATCTTTTATTAGACCAACTAAAATAGTTGGAAAAATTCTTCTTTGTAAGCTTTTGGGTACAAAAGACCTTCGTTAAGCTGAGGAAGCATCCCCAAAAGTTTGTACCTAAAAGTTTGCAAAGAAGAATTTTTCCAACTATTTTAGTTGGTCTTATTGGATTTACCCAAAGAACTGTGTCTGCCTATGTCCTTAGATCAACATGGCTACAACCTAAGCCCCTGAAACCCTGGGACTTTTGGCAAGCAACACTAGGTGGTGCAACCAGCCCTATTTATTATAGTCATTACAATTAGACGATTGTTAATATATAACCTTATATCTTCATAAGCAGCCCCTGCACAGAATTTAATCGTAGTAAATTTTAATTATACAGAAAGTTTTAAAATTCCTCATTATTATATTATTGTCAAACTTCCTAAAGGATTAACAGTCAGATTAATTAACCTGTTCCTTGTAGATTGTCAGAAAATTCAGGACATGCTGGAATGTTGGGGAAGATGTGCCATATTCTGCATCTGTGGTTTAAATTCAATCCCTCCTTTAAATGTAGCAAATTTTAGAGTTGATATTTTAGCAACACAGTTACCTTGAGAAACTATTAGAAGTTGGTTTGTTCTTTGCGCCTTTGCCCCATCAGTAAGCCATAATTCATTAAGTGCTGGTATGTATCTACAGACCCTTTCCAATCTTTGCTCATTATTAATTTGGTAGCAAGCTCTGTGTATTTCCAAGGAGACAGCCCTTTCTGGCTCAGATTTAGGAGCTAGTTGTTCAAAACCTGTTTGTAAGAGTTAACTACTCAAGGAAAAGGACCAGTTGCTGCTGCTGATTGCTACGCACACCCACTGTCCTTGTCCTAAATGCTATTAAAAACTGTTTAGCTGCCGGTGCAGAAGGACAAAACACAGTGATGACAACTCACAATCTTATTGCACACTGCATTTTTCCCCTCTTTTTCTTAGCGCTCTGGCCCCTGGCAGCATAGAAATAATTGTAACACCTCATCCTTTGTGTTAGAGAACCCTGTAGTCCTTGCAAATATGAACCCAAAACCCATATGAATGCAAAGTAAACCACCCCGCTCCTCTGTCCATTGATCGTTTGTTATATCTTGTGATTTTTGAACCACTCTCAGCTCAGGGCAGGGGCTAAGACTGAACTCCTGACTCATGGATGGGGCTGTTTTCCTGTTAATCTTTCAGTCACATCTCCAGGCAGCTTCGCTAGTCTGCGTCCACAGGCTCCCTTGATTCATTCAGGAGGCGGTGGGTGCTGGCCGGCGTGCTTTGCTCAGTACCCCCTTCTGGATCCCTTGTTATTAACCTGTGACTTCATTCCCCTTCCTATTTTCTCTTTATTTGGAAGAGAATTTATTAATATGTCATCACTAGCCCCTGGAATGTGTTAATATGTCATTAGTAGCCTACCTGATTAAAAGAGGCTTATAATATTCCATGACGGGCCTAAGCCAGGGTAGGCAATTATTTCGTCTGGAGGGCCACTTAATGAGTTTTGGTGAGCTATCTGTCAAGGGCTGCACACACAAAATCTTTCAGAATTTGAACAAATTATAGATAAAAATACAAATCATATACTAAAAATCAAACATCCACTATAATATTTTAATTTTATTTAAAAAAATATTTTTTGTCCTGAATGATGTTTTTTTGGGGTATTGTATATAGAGGTGATTAGCTCAAAATAAAGTCTTACTCTTGTATATTGTGTGTGGGGGGATATGTGGGGGTGTGTGTGGGTGTGTAGGGGGGGT